TTTATAAATTTTTAATATAAATTTATACAAATCTGTTAAAAAGTAAGGCTCTACTGATGGAATAAAATTAGGGTTCTACCATAAAATTTACCTTTATTTTTTAAGTAGTGAAAGAAAATAAGTATAAATTAAAGTTTTTTTAATAATAATTTTTGAACTTGTTTGAGTAAATTAATCAAAAGTACTTGTTGTTACAAAAAATAAAATGATATAAGGATGTGGATAGAATTTTTAATTTTTTTCACAAATAGAAAGTTAAAAATATAAATAAAAAAGCTTTTTATACGTTATTTTTTTTTTTCTGTTTTTTCATATGCACTAAAAGAGATTTGTTCCAAAAAAAAAAAAAAAAACAAGTTTATAAAAGCTAAAAAGTATTTTAAGGTGTCCATCTTCCAAATAGGCTCAAAAGCTACTTTTAAACTAAATAAGTTAAAAGCATTTTTTTTAAAGATCTTCTCTGGTAGGTTAACATACTGCAGTGCAAAGGGTTTCTTTGAGGTCACTCATGATATCTCTAACCTAACTTGTGCTGACTTCCTTCGTGCTCCTGGAGTTCAGACACCGGTTATTGTTCGTTTCTCTACTGTTATCCATGAGCGTGGAAGCCCTGAAACCCTTAGGGATCCTCGTGGTTTTGCTGTGAAGTTCTACACCAGAGAGGTGAGGAATTTACTAGTACTTCCTATACATTGAATTGGCTAAATACAACTTGAAATTAGCTACACTGACCTTGAGGCCCTTTTGATGTCTATGTGGTGGTTTTTGAAGGATGTTTGTAGGGGTAGCTCAAGGTGGCCCTTGTGCCAGAAAGTCTTACCTTGTGTAGTTGTCATAAGATCTTGTGCCTGTAGCTTTGTTTACTGATCGGTTTCTGGTTCTCATGTTCATAATGTGACCTCATTCTTTTAATGCAGGGTAATTTTGATCTCGTCGGAAACAATTTCCCTGTCTTCTTCATCCGTGATGGAATTAAATTCCCGGACATGGTCCATGCTCTTAAGCCCAACCCAAAGTCTCACATCCAGGAATTTTGGAGAATCTTGGACTTCTTCTCACACCATCCGGAGAGCTTGCACATGTTCACCTTCCTATTTGATGACATTGGTGTCCCACAAGATTACAGGCACATGGATGGCTCCGGTGTTAACACCTACACTCTGATCGACAAGGCTGGAAAGGCTCACTATGTGAAATTCCATTGGAAACCCACCTGTGGTGTCAAGTCTCTGTTGGAGGACGAGGCAGTTAGAGTCGGAGGAGCGAATCACAGTCATGCCACTCAGGATCTCTACGACTCAATAGCCGCTGGAAACTACCCAGAGTGGAAGCTTTTTATTCAGACAATCGACCCCGATCATGAAGACAGATTCGACTTCGACCCACTTGATGTAACAAAGACCTGGCCTGAGGACATCTTGCCCCTGCAGCCAGTTGGTCGCATGGTTCTCAACAAGAACATTGATAACTTCTTTGCAGAGAATGAACAACTTGCATTTTGCCCTGGCATTGTGGTCCCTGGTGTCTACTATTCAGATGATAAGTTGCTCCAGACTCGTATCTTCTCCTACTCTGATACTCAGAGACACCGTCTCGGACCAAATTATCTTCAGCTCCCTGCTAATGCCCCCAAGTGTGCTCACCACAACAATCACCACGAGGGTTTCATGAATTTCATGCACAGGGAAGAGGAGGTAGAAAATTGCTTATTTTTCACCAAGTGGAAAACAATTACCTTCTGCTTGATTGACATTATGAATTATTTTGCTGAGTGAACTCCCATTTTATGCTTGTATAATTTATTCAAGTTCATCCTTTTCTGACACAATTTCTGCTTTTATGATATTGTTAGGTCAACTACTTCCCATCAAGATACGACCCTGTCCGTCACGCTGAGAGGTACCCAATTCCTTCTGCCATCTGCACTGGAAGGCGTGAAAGGGTCAGTTATCAATACACTAATAAATATCTTGATCCAATTGACAGAATTGGAACAATTTCTTTTGTCCTTAGATGTTAACATGCTAAGATTTAAACGTTGACACATGCGTAATTATTATATGAATGCAGACCGTTATTGATAAGGAGAACAACTTTAAGCAACCTGGAGAGAGATACCGATCCTTCTCCCCTGACAGGTAAAAAAAATTGTTGTCCTGGTGTCTTTATAATAAAAAATCAATATTTGATATCATATATTGCATGAGGCAACTCTGATTTGGTTTCCACTTTCTGATTTTTCCAGGCAGGAGAGATTCATCAAACGATGGGTTAATGCCTTGTCTGACCCACGTGTCACCCACGAGATTCGCAGCATTTGGATCTCCTACTGGTCTCAGGTCAGTTTTGAGTTTCCCAACAATGTTGAAGTTTTTTTCCTTTAGCGTTGCAAATCGTAAATATCATTACACTCGTATTATTTAAAAAAAAAAAAGGAAAGAAAAGAAAAAAAGAAAAAGAGAGAGAACAAGAACCGCATCTTATGGCATGTATGCCACATATACATGTGTGTATATATATATATATATATGTATATATATTTTTTTCGATTGAGGCTTTTAATATAGATAAGTGCATGAGTATTCTATTTATTGTATTTTATTGCACGTGAATATAATCTTTTTTAAAAAATAATTTTTTTAATTATTAGATATATATATATATATATGTATATATATTTTTTTCGATTGAGGCTTTTAATATAGATAAGTGCATGAGTATTCTATTTATTGTATTTTATTGCACGTGAATATAATCTTTTTTAAAAAATAATTTTTTTAATTATTAGTTGTTATGAGTTTAGTATAATAAAACTTGTTTAAGAATCAGATATTCGATTTTAAAAAGATATCTTAGTGGAATAAATTAGATAATAAACTATTTAGATAGTACAATTATGAAATTAGCATTTGAGCGGTGTTAGAAATATGTTTTAAGTAACGTTATAATTGAGAAAAATGATTATAGTGGTACAATTAATAAAATATTCATAAGGACCACATTTCTAAATCTATTATTAGAGGACTGCAAAAAATACTTAAATTAGGGAACACTAATGAAAAGTTTTGTCAATGAGAGTGAATTAGGGAGAAAAAAAAAATATAAAGACACATCTAAAAATATAAGTTATAAACGAAATTAAAGATATACCGAAATTCATATTTCAATATAAAAAGTTAGTTTTGGTTGAAATATTTAGAGAAAAATAAATTATATATGAGAAAAAACATATCTTAATAAACAACCAATTAAGAGGTAAATAAAGCGGACCATAGATAAAGAAGAAGTACCGTTGAAAATAATTACTTCAATATGGATAGATTGAAAAATATATAAGAAAATACTAGTCGAGAGAATTGCATGAAGAGTTTTTAAGTTAAAATATATCTTTGAAATGTATAATTTTTTCAAATATTCATGAATACGACGTTTGATATTATAAGAATTAAATGGTTTCTTTTATAGGTGGTGTGTCTCTTTTGTGTGATGTTATACCAAAGCGTATTGACTTTCTTTATAGTCGTGGCCTATTTAGAATGTTTTTGTTAGCAGTACCGTGTCGTTTAACATGGCATTGTCTTTTATTAGATCTTGTCGTTTTATTTTTTTTCATGACTGTTATTTAGTTTAAGTTTATTTTAGAGAAATCTTGACAATACTCTTAAAAGTGCACGAGTCTTGATTTTTACTCCATACTCTTGAATAATATATATTTTTGGTCAAATAACTACATTAACAAAAGGGTACTAATCAATAGTAAAAAATAAAAATACAGACCCATACACTTTTAAGTGTAAGTTCAACAATTTTCTCTTTATTAATTTTTACTGCGTTTATTTTCTATTCCATTTCCACTTCTTATTTTTATTTTTATTTTTTTTACTTTAAGAAATCTTGACAAATACTTTTAAGTTTCTTGTTTTTCCTTGACGTTGTCGTTTCTTTAAAGTATTATCGTATGTTTGCTATTGTCGTTTTTCTCATTGTTGTTCTTCCGCTACGTGTCGTTGGCACATGATGTTGATCTTGATGATGTTGTTGTTGTTGTTGCGGTGGTTTTTTGGTTAATATTTTGGTGTTTTTGCTTCTTTTTTTTTTTTTTTTGTTGTAATGCCGGTTTTGTAGCTTATTCCGCCATTGACGCTTCTATGACTTTGTCCTTCATCCAAAACATGTCGTTTCATGTTGTTGTCCATTTTTGGCGTGGTCTTTTTTATTTCCTTCCAAAATTATTTGTCCATCTTCGAGAATGTTGTTTGAGGTTTCATACGTTGTCGTTTTTTTCTCTTTTGTTGTTATCAGTAAATGGATTCTTTGTAATTGATATTGTCGTTTTTTTGTATTGTCGTCCTTTTCAAATGTTGTCGTATTTAGATCCTCGCCATGCTACCACAAAAAAGGTGTAAACAAATAGTGACGATAAAAAATAAAAATAAAAAAAGGATGACAGGATGCATGCGTTAGAAGATAAGAGTATTAACAAATTCAATGATTGGAGGATTTAAAGAGGAGGGAAACAAGAAAGATTAATTAGCAGAGCGGGGAGTATATTAAGCATCATTTATTTCACCGAATTCAAGTTTTCAGTTATAGATTTATACGGTTAAAAGCTTTCAGAAAATGTCACATCTAACATTTTCTACTATAGTTAAAAGCTCTTAAAAAATGTCACATCTCAGCTCGAATTGAAAACTCAAATCCGCGAAGGGAACGAGGCTTAACTAATAAGGTGTAGAAAATAAAGAAATGTAGAATTTTAAAAAGAGACAAAATACAAATGTTATATATAAAATAAAATAATGAATGGAATGGAATGCCAATGCATCCATTCATCTTATTGTATAACATGTAGGGTCTTTTGTTCTATGTGGATTTTAATCACGACGTTTTCTTCATTAAAAAAAAAAAACTTTCAAGTTTTACATTTATGGCGTTCTAATATTTTGCCATCCTCATTTCCTTGACATCGTGGTTCATAAGAAATTGTTCATTTTTCTGTCGTTGTTGTTTCTCAGAGATATTGTCGTTCCTACATATAGTTGTCGTTTTCCTCCAAAATTGTCGCTTTCTGATCTTTTACCGTTTCAGTAAATTCGTCGCTTTTGAGTATGTTGTCGTTTTCACACAATTGTCATACCACGGTCCGACAAAAATCACAAATTAGTGACCCAAAAAAAAAAAAAAAAAAACGACAAACCATTTCATCAAAAAAAGTGCACGAAATTCCTTAAAAAAAAAAAAAAACAGAGAGAGAGAGCACGAAACGAAAAAATTGGCAAAACCAGGGAACAAATGCAATTTCAAAAAGTTTTAGGGCTTTACACAAATTCTCCATTGTCTAGCAACACAAGTAATTAGGGTTTAAGGCTTTAGGGCTAAATTCTTCACAAAGTCTCTGCAACTCTGAGGCTAAATTGATTCATCAACGACAACAACATAGAAATCAAGATGCCTCGTACGACGACATTGGAGTGCCCAGGTTGCCCTCCGCTTCGCGCTCTGACATTCGACGTGCTTGGTCTCATCAAAGGCAAGTAAAAGCCGCATTTTTTGGATTTGAATTTGACGAAATTTTGTATCTTTTTTGTTAAATTATAGTTTTTTGCTTGAATGTTTTTGTTTTCTTTATTATTTGATTGTAGTAATTGAAGCTCGGAGTAAGGAAGGAGGGGCTGCTAAGGTGGTAGAGAGGTGGGGCGAACCCGACTCATCGAAATGCGTGCTTGCTGCTTCTATGGTTGACCGCAAAAAGGACCCAGTAAGGGTTTTTTATTTTTTATTTTGGGATTTTACGTTGTTTTTTTTAAGATATAATTGCTTTTAGCATTGTGCAGTTTTATTCACTCGGTGAAGCTAAAATATGTTGTCTATCTTATATATACAGTGATTCTTTAGTTATAAACTTATATTGATGTATAACACCTTTCTTCATGTTCCTTATTAGTTGATGAATGTATATTAATATATAAACTCCTTACAAAAACACTGTTGCATAGAATAAATGTAATGTGACCAGTAGTGAATTGAGAGAGTTGCGCTTTTGTGCTTTATAAACTGAAATGGTGAAAGAGGACTGCTATGTTTTCTTTTGGCAATTTGCAGCTTTATTTACTTGGTGAAGCTGTTGTGGAACTATAGACTGATCCTTCGTTTTATTAGTGTGACGTGTTTTATTCATGTTCCATATGCCAATACTTGGTTGATAATCTGCTATGTGTATAAAAATTTTTTTTTCATTGTTTTTGTTTTGTGAGAGTGAAACTTTTTGTGCTCAATAAACTGAAATATTGACAAGAGGGCTGTTGTGTTTCTTTAAATTGTTGCAGTTGTTAGCTGTTGCAAGAAAAAATGGCACGGTGAGTTACTTTTCTCTTTGGTTTGTGTATATTCAAGAACAACATGTTGGTTTCTGGTTCTTGGTGCTTGTAATTCTGGAATTACATGGCGTTTTCTTCATTTTATACGCCTAATGGATCTTAGTGTTGCAGATTGACTTTCTCAATCCTCTTAACGGGCATCTCCGTTTTGCCATTTCTAATGTCAGTGATACCGCGAATCGACCTGAAGATGATCCTATTTCTGGGTTGCATTTATTTGCAAGTAAAAAATTGGATTCAGAATATGGGTAGGATTCAGTTGCTCCTTCAGTGTGATTGTTCAGGAGATATTTGTTCATATGGCTACTAATCTCATTACGATTGCCATCTGTCATTAGGTGTTGCACTTTGCTTGCTTGTACGATGAAAGGGAAAGCAATCATGAGGTCTTACGATAATACCTTGTCTCCAGATTTGATCTCTAGTGGATCTACAAGGACTTGGGATGTGTGCAGTTCTGGTAATATCTTATGTTCTAAAGTGGATGGAAGTGAAAACTATGTGTTATTTGGAGGGTGAGTGTAGAAAACTTGAAAATCTAGCTCATCTTTCATTGAGCAAATAATAATAATAATGATAATATTAAAATTTTTGGTCTTAAAGATGGTGACTTTATTGGTTTCAACTACAGGAAGGGAGTTGAAATGAATGTTTGGGATCTCAGTGAGTGTGCTAAGATATGGACAGCGAAATCTGTGAGATCTTCATCTCCTCCATGTATTTTTAAAAGAAATGACATCTACTTCTTTTTGCTGGCGTAGTGTCTTGCATTTACTGAAAATTTCATCTTATGCAGCCTCCTAAGAACAGCCTTGGTATTTTTACACCAACTTGGTTTACATCTGCCACATTCCTGAGTAAAGATGATCATCGTAAATTTGTTGCTGGTACAAACAGCCATCAGGTAGTCTCTTGCAGCAGTTTCTGTTTGCTGGGTTTTTCAAAGATTTAATTTCTATACCTTGGAAAGCATGGAAACTAATGCTGCTTGGTGTTGTCAAAAGTCTCAATTTAGATGTAATACCTTATTACATATATTTTTTAGTGTTTTTCCTGGACAATGATCTGTTTTCTGTCGTTTTTGTCTATCCCATAGGCTCTCCTCACTGCTCTGTTACTTCTATATCAGGTTCGCCTCTATGATATTTCTGCTCAGCGCAGACCTGTTATGTCATTTGATTTCAAGGAGACCCCTATTAAAGCAGTAGCTGAAGATCTAGATGGCCATACAATCTATGTAGGAAATGGGTCTGGCGACCTTTCTGCTTTTGACATGCGTACTGGTAAATTTGAGTTTCATATAATTTAGGATTATTTTCATAAATGCCCCCCGAACTATGTACCCTGTTTCAAAGTGCCCCCCTGATGTTTCAAAACGATTCGAAACACCCCTCGATGTATAGAAAATAGGTCAAACTGCCCCCTCCGTCCAATTTTGTCTATAAATTTAACAGAACGCTGACGTGGCATGCCATTAAAAGTGTAGGAATATAAAAAGTCCAAAATACCCTCTAATTAGTTAACCACAAAACAAAAACTAAAAACAGAATTATAAAATATTTCATAAATATATATATTTTTTTCCTTAAAAAGTTGTCAGATCTGGAATATGAAAAACACACAAAAATCCCATATTTCAACATTTTCCTCAAATTTTTTTCAGACCTCCCTCCCCTCCATCACACCTTGCTCGCCGGCCCTTCTCATGCAATTGGGAGCACTTTGAAACATGGTACATAGTTTGGGGGGCATTTATGAAAATAATCCTATAATTTAATATTTCATCCTCTTCTTTTTTTTGGCCATAAGACTGAAGATGTGATATTTCATATGTTCAAGTAAGTTTTCAGTAACTTTTACCTTGTTGCAGGTTAAATGTAATTATGCTAGTTCTGCGTTTTCGTCTCCACTTTCGGTTATTTTCCAAAAGAAGATTATTTTATATGATGTCTTCATGGTTATTTGTGAATTTTTCTGTTTAAAATATATTGATTAATCCAAATGGTTGAATGTTCTGTTCAGGGAAATTGTTAGGATCTTTCCTCGGGAAGTGTTCTGGAAGCATTAAATCAATAGCGAGGCTCCCAGAGCATCCTGTAGTGGCATCTTGTGGTAAGTAATTTTATTTTTCCTTTGCAAACTATATTTGACTTTTACTGTTAAAGATCAGTTGGGACAGAAAATAGATGCGTGAAAGATTGATTAAAGTACTGGGTTACTAATTTAACTACCCAGGCAAGAGGAAAAGGAAGATCAATAATTCTTTGATAATGTGATATTGTCTAGTAACTATGCTGCATCGTTTAAGAAGAGGATTCTTGTTATGGGCATTAATAATAATTTGCTTTATGATAATCGAATGCAAACTTATCTCTGCCTGCCACTAAGGTTCATTTTTTTTTTTTGCTAGGACTGGATAGCTATCTACGTCTCTGGGACGTAAAGACACGACAACTGCTTTCTGCGGTATGATTTTAAGTGTAAACAATCTAAAGCGTGATAATTATTGAAATAGTATCTTGGGTAATAACAAAATATGCTTCAAGCCTTTCAGCCAATGATATTAATTGCTCTCATCTCGTACAGGTTTTCCTGAAGCAGCACCTTGTCCGTGTTGTTTTTGATTCCAATTTCACCAGCGAAGGTTATTATTTCTTGTCTTTCTCTTGACCTACTCTCTGATGTAAGGCCAAGGGACACAGCATATAGATCTTAATAATGAGTCTTTTGTCGCATATCAATTACACTTGGTGAAAAAAGGATGATTGAAGAATCTAAATTAAAGTTCGTGTGGGGAATGTAGGAAGGGGAAAAAAATGTTCTGATGGAGGAGATTGTGACAAAAGTTGCGCTTGCTTGATTTTACATAATCTGGGCTAGTCTGGACACTTTGAGTGTTTTTACGTCATAGTTGTTCTTTCATTTGAGAAAGCACAAGCAAAGCTATATATTCACACGTATATGCATTAGCTATTGTACTAGAACCAGGCTAGTAACACAAGTATTTTGTATTAGCAGATGCCGTCGGTTCTACGCGTGATCCCTCAGTTGAAGAAGCAGAAACTGTGAACGAATATGAAAATGGAGATGAGCAAGATACCCAACCAGTGAAGAGGAAGAAATCATCTAAAGAGAAGAAAGCAAACAAGAAGAGTAAAAAGAAAAGCAACAGCAATGAAACATCTGCGGACGATGAAGGAACAAAGAAGATAAAAAAATTCAAGTCCAAGAAAAGATTGAAACGCGAGATCCCTGATGATTCGTCATGATGTAGATGGATTAAATGCTCGCGCGATAAAAAGAGATAAAAATTAGACCTTGCCATGGAATATGGATTGTGACTGGAAGGACTTCACAAGAGAAGCAAAATGTGAAAGCCAGTTCAGTGCTGACTCACAAGCAATGGTGCAAACTTTTCCATGTTTTCCTTTAGTCGCTTGAGAGAGTAGGGGAATTGAATTTTTGCCGAAATAGGAGTTGTAATTTATTTCTCAGCTTATACTTGAAAAGCTAGGCTTTGTATGTTGTTTTGTCAAGAGAAATTTCTCTACTCATTTTTGTTTATTTAAGCGTTACAACACTAAAATATTTACTTTTCTTTTGGTGCTATATAATAATGCGTTATAACTTGAAGCATAATGTGGATTTTGAAGCTGCAATCTATTCGTGCTTAATATGTTCTTCTGTTATTGAGTATTGTCGTTTATCTATGAGCGTGAATATATTGCAGCTGCAATATTAGATAGCAATACTAGATGGCAATGAAAATATTGTTGCTTTCTATGTTGACTTTTGCCTGAGCATGAATATTCAATGTTAATTTTATAATGTCGCAGATAATATTATCCTTTCCGAGCGTGAACATATTGCATCTGCAACAGTAGATAGCAATGAAATTTTGTCGTTTTCTATTTTCTTGTTTTCTGAAATGTCGTTTCTTAGCCAATTTTCTTTCACTACGATGCGGTTTTTGTAACCGGCGTTGTTATTCTTGAATCATTGATCTGTTTGTCCTTTAAATCATGTTGTCGATAAGATGATGGAATACATTTTTCTTTTGGATGCTGTGATTCTATTGAATTTCAGATATTATCCTTTTCGGCAATTGTGTCGGTTCTTCCCTTATTGTGGCTTTATATGATATCTGGTCTATTTTATGGACAATTTATAAAAAATATCCCTTAAAAATAGAGTTCTTTTATTTCTCCTATCTAATATTAACTCATATATTTCTATATTTTAAAGTAAAATTAGTTAAAAAGTAGAGGTTTTTAAAAAGGATATTTTTAGTAAGTATTTAAAAAGACGGAATTTGTAATTTTCTCATTTTGTTATTCGATAACAAGTCGATGTCTCTTTTGTTGTTATCTATAATACAGTTTAATAGCCCTATTGCGTTACAGACATAATGGAAAAGATGACACAAATCCCCCCTTTCTTTTTCTTACCAGAAAAGGTTTAGATAAATCAACTGAAGAGTGATATGCTCACATCACATTTTTCTGGCAGTAAAATTATTTCAAATGAGTCACATATCAGAGATCAGTAAATATCTCTTAGAAAATCATAACAAACACTGAAAGAGGAGGAATAGAAAAAGCGCTATCCTACTCAGAAGCAGCTTCCTCTTTCTTCTCGGACAAGTACCTATACACAGAAACAAATAAATTTAAATTACATTCCATTGTTTCCATGCTCCAGATAAGAGCAAATAAGGCTTTCAAGAACCAAAAACTAAGGCTAAAAAAAAAAATCCAACTAAATACAAAAAATATACCAGAAAGGAACTATACCAGTTCAACAAAATTATAATTTTTGAGGACTTAGATGACAATATACGTTGAAGTTTTTCCTGCTTTTGCATTATTTCCTTTTAATTCTTGTAATCTCAAAGATTATAATTTAGGTTTAGTAACCTACCCCTGACCCTTTGCCCAGCGAGAGAGTTGATACAGTTGTACGGTTTCATTCGAGGCATGGCACACCAAAAGAAGATAGTTGCGCGGCTGTACCATCCATGCAAATCTCATGAATAATGCAGAATAGACACACATTGCTGTAGAAAAGAAAATTCGGGTGAGCTTATAATCTTCCCCATCTAACGGGCATCATAAATCATATGCATTCTTACAACCAGTAATTTTGAACCTGCTGTCATGTTTCCGGAAATCATTTCTGGAGGCTTCTTCATGTCCGCCAATCCCTGTGACATTGTACATATGGTCAGTGACTCAGATTAAAGCAATAAACCATGAAGTTAGAATCTACTATTGTAAAACTTAATTCATGTTTAACTATCGAGTCGCCGTAGCAAAGCATACCGCAGCAACAAATCCCCAATTAGCAATAGGCCCCCAAAAGTGAGTTGTTTTGGGACCAACAGGACTGTTCAAGAAGGCTCGGAACGAAGCCATGCCAGACAGCTGCCTTTTAAGTTCTGCACAATCCAAAAACAGAAAATTCGATTGAAGATACAAGGTTGAAAAGAATACACAGAAAGAAGTATATGACCATTTTCTTTGATCCATTAAACATGAGAATGTAAAATAGTCCAGAAACCCTATCCCATCTTACCTTCAGCCAAACAATATGACTCTTTGATATATATATATATATATCTTATTCCTAACTCCCCATGAATTCTAGGGAAAATGTTTAGAAAATCTGAGGCAACACCAAAAAAATGTCATCCAAAACTATTAATCCAGTGGTCGGAAACTTGGCCTAACAATGAAAATATTTGCTCGCCTCTAATGTCAAGGTCTAGAATACAAATTCCCCCTCCCAAGCTCTCTCCATACAGTATATATAGTTTAGTTTTGCTGTTTTCGTTAAAAAAAAAAAACTCTTCAACTTCCCCGATTCTACTCATTTCACATAATCAAAAACCAATTCAGCAGAGCTTGAAACAATAAAAATAAGGATATTTCACGTCGAATTTCAATTTCTCATCCAAACTAGAAAAAACTTATACTTGAATCCACAAATGAACTTACAAAAAAGAACTAACAGAAAATAAACCTAGCTCTTCCTCCACGATTCGGCCGCGAAATCTTTTGATGATAATACGATCAAAAATTCAAAACCTAAAAATTTCTCTCCCAAAAGATGGGGTTTTTACAAGAAATGCGATCCCAATCCAGAGTCAACCCAAAACCTAACCTAGTTTCAGATTGTTTAAGATTAAAGAAGACAAATCCACGATTAAAGTACGTACCTTGATAGGGAAATTGTAGGATTCGGTGTCCGAAATCGGCGATAAATTTGACGCAGAGAAAAGGGAAGAGAAGACTGCCCACAAGAATAGTAGACAAAAAGATATTATTTTATTAAATTAATTACAAAATCTCGTTAATTTCATCCATTTAAGTTACAGGCAAATTTTTTTAAAAAATATAACATTTAATTTTTTTTATTATAATAAAAAATTTTTAAAAAATATCACATCTTAACTTAAATCTGTAAAGTAAATGAGACCAAAATTCTTCTCAAATTATGGTCCTTAAATCACTTATTCCCGATCTTCAAATCGTAATATTGATTCCCTCGATTTATCAAACTTTAACAAATAAACTCCTTCTATTAGTTGTTTTTAACAGAATTTAACACGTGATTGGCACGTGAGACATCACATAGGGATAGGGGCATTTGGGTAACTTCATTTTGTCAAGACCCTAACTTTATTCATTTCAAAATCTAATTTGACTTTAAAAGTTAATTTAAATTAAGAAAATCCAACCTTTTGCTGGTTAAATAAAAAACTCTGATTGTCAGGAAAATCTAATATGAAACGAAAAAAAAATAAAGTGTCTTGCACTCTCTGCATTTATGAGGTAACTATTTCCAACAGAAAAGACACCGCGGCACTAAATTTAGGCGTTACGGCGTTAAAATGCACATAATATAATTTTTAACAAGCAAGGCGCCTTGGTGTTGAGTTTGGGTGCCGCAGCGCTGCAGTGCTTGGGCCTGTTGGAATGGGCGTTGGAATAAGCGCTGCAACGCCCATCACCTTGGGACTACTTGAATGGGCACTGTAGCACTCGGGCTTGTACGGACAGTTTCTAGTTTGCCAGAAACTGGAGCTGCAACGCCCGAAACATTCCGCTGCAGCACCATAACGACGTGTTTTTAAAACTTGAATTGACACCAATTCAAATGGAAAATGTATCTTTTCAAGTTTGGTTGTGTCTGTACGTATTAGTGTGATAAAAAATTATAAAAAGAATAAGAATTGCTGAAAAATGATTAAAAATAATTTTCTACAATTTTTCTCTCTTCTTGTTCAAAAATTTTTAAAAATTTAAAGAATTATTGTGTTCTGAGCCTTGTTGTCATTTTACTTGTGATTAACAATTTAAAGATTTGTCATATTTTATGAGCGATTTGTCAAAAATCCAACGCAATCTCTAACAAGATGAGACAAATTACGCTTTAAAAAAAACGTACTTTCTACACGTTTTAAACCTCCTCTTCCTCAAGATTTCTAACAGGGGGTGCCGGGTTCATCGTTTGGCGTTGTTCATTCTCGTTCTGGTTTTAGGCAATAATGCTGCTTCCTGGTTATGTTTCCCTTGAAAATTCTTCTTCTTTTTTTTTTTTTTTTTTTTTTTTTTTTTTCCCTTGAAAATTTTTTTTTTTTTTTTTTTTTTTTTTTTTTTTTTGTTGTGAATCTTGAAAATTCCTCCTGTGGCTTGGTTATTGCGTCTTTGCCAAATTCCATTTAGTAAAATGGGAAAAATTTCCAGTTCGAAAGGGGATTTTTGCTATAAATTAAGGTTGATGAAGCATTTGCCAAGAACGACATTTCTATGGCGTCGTGTGGCTTTGGAAGTTTTCTTTTCTCTCTCCTTTTTTTTTTTTTTTTTTAAATTTTAATCTGAGAAGCAACCCGCCCAAACAAGATTTTGAAAAAAAAAAAAAAAGAAATGAAAAGAAAAAAAAGTCTATTTCCGGACTATAATTGTTATATTTTTTTTACCCAGTAAATGATAAATGGGTATTTATTAAGAAAAAATACAAATATAATGGGGTAAAAAAAGTAATTATACATTGGATTGTTCAGCAATTTTTAGACCTCGTTCATTTCGCGGATTTAAGTTTTCTATTTGAGCTGAGATGTGACATTTTTTTAGAACTTTTTATTGTAGTAGAAAAAATTAGATGACATATTTTCTGAGAGCTTTTTACTGTAGAAACCTAGAACTGAAAACTCGAATTGATGAAATGAATGAGGCCTTAATAAACGTTTGGTTCACGGCTTCAGAATCATTATCGGTTTACGTGTTTTTTTTTTTAGAAAAAATACTGTAGTGAATCACGAATCATGATTCTAATCATAACACAAATTCTTATACCAAATACCCCCGTAGTTTTTAGACATCACTTGTCATTTCTCTTAGAAGAACTAACCAAATGAGTTTATTTGTTAATCAAAATCTCTATATGAACAAGATATTTATCCATTGTACTCTTTCTAACTCGCACACGTTTTCCACCACACTCTCATTTCCATTACCAACCAAGTTATTAGAATTCGTTACTCTGCTTGCAGCTTTCTTATTACTAGTGAAAAGTTTCAAAAATAACAACTCAAATAAAACGAAGAAAATGATATTTACTGATGACTTGTACATAACCACTTATCATCATTGCAATGTAAGCAAATAAAGAAAGATGTAATTGGTATTTAGTTGTTATTGACTATACTACAAGTAACTATCACACGTGGAGGAACTGGAATGGGCACACCGGATAAATCACAGGGCAGCGCTAGTTCAATGCAGATGTGGGCTTAAACAAGTCCTCTCCTCATCCCATCGTTGGCCGGCCTCCGCCCAGCTCCTGTGGCCACCGTTAAATTACCAAAAAATAAAGTTCAAAGTTGAAAGTGCCAAATTAAGAGAGTTCAAGATTGATATTACCAAAATAAAATTTAGGATTGAAAGTGCCAAAATAAGAGAGTTCAAAGTTTAAATTACTAACAAATAAAGTTCAGAGTTGAAAGTGCCAAATTAAGAGAGTTCAGGGAGTTATGTGCTAATAACTCAAAAAGTTACGACTATTCCTTGTCAATTGCCGACCTCCGTCACTAGCATCAAACGGCCAACTGTTAGCATCCTGATTGAGTCCCACATTGCTAAAGTATGGGTTTAGCATGTAGGTTTATAACCATTTGTGTAATACCCGAGATTTCATTAAGCCTTAAGCCAATAATAAATAAATTTTGTAAATTAAAATCATGCACCACATTTACTATTTACCTCAAAGTTATTTGTTGGCATTATATTTTATTATTATAGCTATCATATGATTTTATTAAACTTATAGCTTTGCTAATCAAGTTTTCAGTTTTAATGTGCAGTGGAACTAGCTCGAGGTGGGAATTCAATGTGCTAAACTTATGAAGAAAAAAAAAGAATTATATTTATTATGATTATTTGATATGATATTTTACCTCTATTATGATTGCTTTAATGATGAATCATTATTTTATATTTTTATTATATGGTTTTATGTAAATGTGTTAAGGACTTAGTTGCTATTTTGAGTTTTTGTGAGAGAAGGCTATGTTAGCAAATTGAGTGAACTTTAGGCACCTAATTGAAGAAGAAAAATAGAGACTTTAGAACTGATTTTATGAGGTTAGGACAATGTTAGAGGCTTAGAAAAACCTACACACTTGTCATACTATAAGGTCACTTTATTTTTACTTGGTCTCTATCATGTTTAGACTTCATTTTTGGGTCTATTTTAGCAAAAAAGCCTAGAACTCCGACCCTAACATTTTCTTCTCTCTTCTCACTCCTTTTCTCACCCAAAACTCAGAAGCAAACTTAGGTTTTCAAGAGAGAATAAGCTAAAACTCAACTAGGCCATTCCAACTCGTTTTCAACCTAGAACCAAAAATAACCACCAAGGTTTTGAGCTTCTATTCACTTGGGAACATGTTTTTCTTTGAGGTAACTTCTTTCTTATGTTAGAAACTAAGATTTCAGAGATTAAGATGTTGAAATCCAATGGATTTTTGATGGGGTTTTTCTTGCATGTTAGTTGTAGACTCTTAAAAATGAGTTTCTTGAAGTTTTGGTTCAAATATTGGTTTCTAGGTGAAATTAATGATTTTAGCTTGATATTATTGATGATTATTTAAAGATAAACTCTTATTAAGATGATGATTCATGTATTTGAGAGTGGTCTTTGAAGATTAAGATCTGCATGCTAGGTATTTGATGAAATGTTCAAATAAGTCCTCTGTACAACATATGTAGATTCTGTTTCCGTGCTATATATACTTATGATTTTGACAGATCTTATATTTTTCTATTAAATTTTACATCTCAAGCTTTACGTGAGTTTTTGAATCACTTCAAACGGATTTTTCTACATTTAGTTATGAATTTTATAAGTTCAGTTAAAAAGCTTTCATTTTCCTGACGAGATTATACTTCAATATGGATTTCGGGCTGTTTTTGGTTAGTTTGAAAAATCCGAAACCTATCATGTAGTAACTCTAAAAAGAGGGTTTTGAGTTTACTTTTATTTGCCACTGGTCTCATAATATTTTGAGTTTTGATGAATTTGTTATGAATATTTTCGTAACATTGCGCAGTTATGTGTTTTGTTAAATGATGATATGAATGTGATTTTTGAAAGTTATGGTTTTTAAAGGTTAATTAGCACATTGAAGGTTCCCCACAACCAGCTAGTTTGTGCTTGCAAAGTGGTGATCAAAATTCAGGTAAGTAGGGTTAAAAGCATTTCAAAACTGCATCACAAGACCCTATATGATTATGTTCAAAGAGTATTCATGATTAATTATTTTGAAAGAGATTATGATGTTTGCTTATTATGAATTTATGCTTTAAGAGATTTTATGGTATGATATATGGATGAGAGGCTGGGTAAGCAGGGGTGCGAGGGACCGGTACCCCAAATTAGAGAAACTGTCTCTTTGAGACAACTAGAGAAAAATGTTAGTGGGAAGTCTCTTGTTGATCACAAGAGAAAGAGATTCTAAAAATCCCGCTTAGTGTTTAAGAGAAGAGAATTGGCCAAAAGTAGAGAAGATCCTGTATAGAGAGGCTTACTTGGAACCGAAGTTCTGTATCATACCTAAACTAAGAATAAGTATGAAAGTTTATGAACAATGTTTAACAAAGAGATTTCAGCCACGGAGATTTTAGATACTTACTTTATTTGAAATCTACTTACTGAGTTTTTGCTCATTAGTTTTACCTTGTGATGCAGATGATGTTGTTGTTACTGAAGAGTAAAAAAAAAATTAATGATTTCCAAGGTTGGCTAAGCACTCCAAGTTCTACATCTGGCATCCTGCTTATATGTACTTCCAAACAATAGATGGGCTCAAAATGTTTTTTTTTTGTTACTATGTCACTTTTGAATAACTGTTTAATGTCTAAGATTTGTGGTTGTAATCATTTTGCACACTGACTCATTTTGTTCAAAAACCTTTACGAAAATTTTAAGTATATAAAGTATGTTTTAAGTAGCACCACCTCACTAAATTCAGCCTCAGACTGGTTTAGCGTTAGGGGCGTTACAATTTGGACACCATTTCCCTATAAGTTAGCTTTTAGGAATGAGCTCTACCCAATGATTGTGACAATTGGTATTAGAGCGTGCCCTACCTCGGGCCCACATTGCGGAAGGGGCGACCTGAGAAGGGACAACTTGAAAAGGCAAAAGTGGGCCATTCAGAATGGGTCGCCGTGGACGTCAGTGTCAAAAACGTAGTGGTATGTTAAGATCCTGATTAAATCTTACATTACTAAAATATGGACTTAGCATGTGAATTTATAACCACTTAACACATTCTCCTTACAAGCTAACTTACATTTCTATATTCCCTTCTCTCATGCGTTTGGCATCATAGGTTTGACGGGTTGCTTAGATTATTTGTCCAGCCTTATCTAAAAAACATAGATATGCGTTGACAAACCCACTATTCGAAGGACCATCCAAAACATAATAATAAACGACAAAATCCTTTTGCAAGCACGTTTCGTGTTCACAAAGTCAAACTACCGAAACGGCAAAGGGAAAAGAAATGGTAGAAAATTGAAGCAATGTACTGAAAATTGATGACTTTCTTCAGGAGAAAAGCTAAGAGCTACACTAGGGAAATTGCACAAAAGATGCTAAGATGATGTAAACACACAATTTGTCGCACGTCTCGTGCTCACAAAGTTAAACTACTAAAACTGGAAATGTAAATAAAAGAAAATCAAGCAAAAAGAGTAGAAATTTGAAGCAAGAATTGAAATTTGGTGACTTTCTTTAGTAGAATTAGTTAAGAGATACACAAAGTGCATTGCACAAAATCATAAATGATTCAACGAATTGAAAATATCAATGTGTTGTTCCTTTATTTGTATTTTTGCTAAAGACATACCAATAAGTGTAAGGATTACAAATCCGCTATCTAATTCATTCAAATATAAACTTCTTGGCAAATTTTTTCTGCCGCAGCTCCTTCAAAGAATAAATAATTATAACCAGCTTCCAGTTCTTCAGTATAAGTAAACAAGACCTAAAAAAATCAGAAATCACATTTTCCCCCCTCAACCAAAAGAGTAAGATGCCAGATTATCCTAGTTGTTTCAAGGGTTTGGCAGTGTTCACAAATGTTGCACTTTTATTGAAGCCCTCAAGCAAAAGAATCCGAACTGCTTCTATTCCGTCTTGGAATGTAAAATTCAGCTGCAAGTAATTTGTTCCAACTTCGAATGAAAACAAGAAAAATTGCTCCAGCATCTAAAATCTAGAACAAATATAAACGTAATTTTCATGTTGACTGGAGCATGTGAAAATTTGCATACCTCTTCACGTTCTTGTTTAGTGAACGGTCGAAGAACAAAGTTAACTGGATCCATCTTCCCAGGGGGGCGTCCAATACCTAGAAAATTCACCACCGCATTGATAAATAAACATATAGAGTAATGGACCACTATGTTAATAACTATGGTGTCTTCGGGGACATACCAATTCTCAAACGCGGAAAATTACGGTTCCCTTTAAAATGATCAATGATACTTCTCATCCTACAATAGCAAAGAAAATCACCAAAATTAACTTACACAGTCTATTCTCCTCGGCAATATCCGAAGCATTTTATGAGTTACAACAGATCAAGATTGACAAAGAAGCTACTTTTTCTACTAAGAGAAAAGAGCAGCTATGTTTACTTTATTGATAAAAGCAAGGAAAATAATGTCTGAGAATCATTATAAAGCGAGTAGCACCCTGACTATTCCACTGTAAATGTAAGCAACGACACACCGCTTGCAGCGGAACAATTTCAGTATGCATATATTTATTTTGATTTTAGGATTCAAAATTGATATAAAGTACTTGAAAGGGAAAAGACGAATACTTTTTAACTCTTGTCGAAAGAAAAATAAACCATCAAAGATAAGGAAATTGTTCATTCAGTACGGTCTCTCAGAAATCGCACAAGATCATTAACAAACTAAATAAATGGGATATGCTAAAAAGGATTCCCGCATTACCAGCATGTCTTGCCTAAGTTATCTGCATAATTGATCTAAAACAATGATGACATAATGGTAAAAGAGGCTAAGAAATCAGCAAAAAATTACCCATTGTGACCTCCATGTCCACCCTTAGGCAACATTTTCAGTTTTGCAAAAGGAAAATCTAGATCGTCATAGATCTGTAAAAGACAATCAGAAAATTTGAAGATTGCAACAGAAGAAACTCATATGATTAAATCAACAAGGGAGAAGAAGAAACTATACCACAAGCACTTGCTCGTGTGGAATCTTGTAATACGAGACAATTGCTCCAACCTTCACAGATTAGTTTGAAAACCACAAGATTATAATAGAAACAACAGAAAGAAAGTTACCATAAAAAAAAAAAGAGGAAAAAGTAGGTACTTGATCACTAATGCAAATGGAAATCTATAACAGATAGCTACTTACAGACTCACCGCTTGAATTCATGAAGGTTTGTGGTTTGACAAGCATAATTGGAACATCTCCAATAAAACCTGAATTATAGAACCAGCTCTATGAAAATCATACTTTTGGAAATCTAAATCAAAATATAGTTTAACAGATTGTCCATCACATTAATAGTTTATAATTAACATGCACAACATTCATATTCATTAATAACAGCTGCATATATATATATATATATATATATATGTATTGAGTGGTAATTGCAAATTTATAACACATATGCCCCAATAAGTCCTTTAAAAGTTTTCCCATCAAAGTTCCATAGTGTTTTAAATGGATAAACAAGGAATTACTTATGAAAAGAGAGAAACTTTTCGTTGAAAAAAATAAATAAATAAATTAGAAAAAAATGGTTATGAACCTTTTCCGAATAGAGCTTTGAAAGAAACACTGTTAATAGATATTCCTTCAGCTTCACCAATGGCATCAACCAACTGAAAACCAACCTGTAAAACCACCAACCAAGAGAATTCCAAATTAATTAACCAAAAATAAAAGAACTTGAAAATCCAAGCTAAAAGAAATTTAGAAAGTCGAGATTTTCACGAACATTGTGACGAGTTCCGTCGTATTTCTTGCCGGGATTGCCGAGGCCGACGACGAGCCACGGCTTGACGGGCTTCTTGGGCTCAGCCGGCGCCACGTAAGCAGCCGCCATGGGAGCTGAGCTCGAGCTCGATAACCGAGACACTCTCCGAAGAGGAAGAGTTGAGGAGAGAGATGGAATTAGGGTTTCTGAAGGAAGAAAGCAACGGCGAAAATTCGAAGAATTAACGAAGGAGATTGGCGACAGTGAATTGCAGGTGCCTAAAACTCTCATCTTTTTTATATGAGGAAGAAGAAGATGTTAGATTTCGATTTGGACTAAAATTGCAGAGTTCGATGGGGACTTGTAATAGGAGAGACTACAACGTTACGGCAGATGGCGCGGCGCGTGCGGCCGATGGCGGGGAAGCGGGGGCGGCCAAATTGGGGGAAGCTTTTTCGGTATAAATTCAACGGCTAAAATCAAACACAATTAGATCAAAGGTTGAGATATTGATGTAACTAGATTTACGCCTAGTATGAGACAAGTCGTAAAGTGTAATAATATTATTACCGCGTTTCTCACGTAAATTTAAATTTAATTTTTTTATTATGTTATTTTTTTTTGACCTATATAATTAAAGTCATGACTTGAGTTATTAATAGTCAATTTTATAGTTTTATTATCGTTTATTTTAGGTTACTTATTTAGCTTTATTTTGTTACTAATTTATTGTTTGTTTTAATGGCCTTTTGTTATCGTTTTTGTAATTAAGCTATAAATAGCCAATTTAGTTATTGTAATAGGGAGACTTGAATATTTTAATAATTAAATTAGAGTTGTGTGTTCTCTTCAATTGGGGATTTTCTCCTTGTAGGATTTTTTTTTAAATAGACTTAGCCCGTTAAGTTCCGTCTTCAGTTTGAATTAAGCCGGTAAAATTTCGTTCTATTCATTTCGTTGCATCAAATACATTTGATCATTTTGGTCATTTTGTGTAAAAAATATATGTAAGATATAAAATGAGTCCGGATTTATTGTTCCCTTTGATTGTTTCCTTTCTTGTCTCACCAATAAAAAGTTGTGACATCAATTAACCTCTGTTTGTTTCAACAATTACAACAAAATAATTCAATTTAAATAGGATGTTCAAATTGATGTTTGGTAGAAAATTGTAGGGCCGGCAATATGGGTCACGATACAACAACACGACTCGAAAACGACACGAATTTCGCTGGTTAGGGTTGAGAAAAAAGAGGTTCGGGTCAGAATTGGGTCGACCTGGAATTGACACGAAAAACACTGGTCAATTTCAGGTTGGACCCGCCTAACCCGAACACGACACGAAACTCGTAAAAAACTAAAAAATACATATATTTTTCATTACATATTTTGATTTTATTATGAACTTATGATATCATGATAGTTATACTCAAAATCTTATAGTATTATTTGCTTAATTTCAATGGATGTTATTGTATTTTAGTGTGTTATGAATTTTAAGTTATTTTTAATATGTAACAAACTAAATAAAAGTATACAATTTTCGTGTCAATTTCGGGTTCACGGGTCATTTTCGTGTCGTGTCGTGTTAACCCATAAAGTGGTCGTGTCGTGTTCATGTTGCAGTTTTTAAAAAATTTCGTGTCACGGGTCGTGTTCGGGTTGAC